CAACTTCTCTTTGTGTTTGTAACATTCAGTGATGACACCAAGTAGTGCTCTCCTGATGTACCATCACCATGAAATCATGCTGCATGCTGCTTTGTCAGACAGCTTCTCTCCAGTACCCAGACTCCTGGGTAGGTACCATGCAGGTCCTACTCTGCCAGCAACTTCGAATTGAGACGGCTAGTTGGCATCTATTCCCCTCACCAGCTGCCACAAATAAACATCTTCCAGTCAAAACTCTGTGCTCTTATAGTTAAAATCACCAAGAAAATGCATGCCAGGGCTCCACAGTGGGCACTATGCATCACTCATTCCCGCCTTCCATCCCTGCCACACATTGCAAGCATAGACCAACCAGCCTGGCTCTACAAAATAACTTGGTGAGATCCAAGTTACAGAATCCTAGTTGCTATGTAAAGTTTGCAAGAGGGGCAAAACATACAATGCCTAGGGGGAAAAATAAGGTAGTAAATAAATGCATGTTGTAAATGAATGCATTCATGGAACCAAAATGGCATGAAAACATTCCCCTGCAAACATCTACAAACCATGGTTAGCACTCTTTCATTCTATTCTTTTGATTTAATTCGCAGGTGAGCCAAACCAAAAAAGCACAAATATAAGAGTAGTAACTGAATAAACTGATGATACAGCAGACTTCGATGGGAGTAGAGAAAGGAGTGCTTGTCAGTCTCAGTAACGGGATCGGGCTTTCCTGTGCATGGGGACAGGACAGGAGGACTGGACCTGGAACTGAGACTCCTGTGTAACAGCCAGAATTCCTGAAAGCTTGCTTTTCATGTCAGAGAAAACATGTTCTAGATAAATCCACCTGCTGGTATGGAAGACTATAAGGAAAGTGAGCTTTGATTAATTATACTTTGAGAATATGCACATTTGGGTTCTGGATATAGAAGCCTAAGCCCAAGAGAAATATGCATGCGAAATTCCTTCAAAGGCATGCTTTTAAACCTAAGGCCCACATGAACCCTGCAGAAGAAGCAAGTTCTACTAAAAATGAGCTAAAAACAAAGTATGAAAATAAATGAGGTAATAATCCACCGTGAGCTACAGACAGCAGACACAACATTCAGGATAATTAGAATACCAATCATTTCAGATGACAGAATAATCTGAAAGAACATAAAAAAAAAAAAAATCCATACGTATAAAACTGGGCAGATTTTTAAAAGTATATCTAAAACTTCCAGAAATGAAAAACAAACAACAAGATGGGTTAAGAGACGCTGAATATAGAAAGAATGAGAATATCCAACATATCAAATAGATGTTGCAGAAAATAACAATAAAAAGAATGAAGGAGGGCGACAGCATTTGAAGAAGAGATCACTGAGAGTTTTATACACTTGGTGCAAACATGACTTTTCATATTCAAGATGCAAACAAGTCACACTGTGAAAATTCTGAGGGTAGAAAATAAATTCTTCAATCTAGAATTAAGTGCCAAGCTATTAATATAAAGAAAAATTCAGAAAAATATTAAGAATGTTTATAATTCCCTAGGGCCTTGCTGAAAGAACTACTAAAGGATAAATTTCACAAGAAAATTGAACCCTGTAGGAAGGAGAGGAATAAAAGGAGCAATGTTGAGTAAAGAAACTGATGAATATGTAGATAAATTTTTTTTGAAAAAGCCCCGACTGAAAACAAATTAAGTGAAAATTTTAAGTAATATATAAAAAGAAAGAATGACAGCCAGATTTCAAAGTGACCTAAGAACATCAATTGTTTGATAAGCATAGAGCTAATGATTAAATATGTAAACTTAAAAATGTGAGGGTAAAATTTAAGAGGAAGCTTTAAAAGAATAGAAATACAATCTATACTTCACAACATAAAGGGGGATTAAAACAAATTAAATAATCCAATCTATCAGGAAGAGAATAGAAAAATAAGTGAAGTCCACACTTATTTAAAGTCAGAAACAAGGCAAGGATGTCTGCTACAGCTTCTATCCATTATAATACTGGAAGTCTTAACCAAACAATGAGACAAGAAAAACAAATTCAAGTCATAACAATCAGAAAAGAAGAAACAAATCTTCTGCTACCTGCAAATGAGGTACTTGTCTGAAAAGAAAATTACAGGCATACTCAGAGAGTTTAACAGAGTTTCTTCAAGGAAACTGATATAAAAATATAAACATTGTTCCTGTAATGCAGCAACAAACAACCGGAAAATGTAATTATCCTCCAGCAACTCCACTGCTAGGAGTCAGTCCAAGGGAAGCTCTTGCATACACACATATGAAGACAGAAATAAGAATATTTTCTGCAAAAAAAGTTGTAAGAGATAAAAAAAAAACTTGTAAAAGTGAAATAAATTAGGAAAACACACAAAAAAAAACCATCAACCAAACTGTCCCTCAATAGGTCTACTCACACAATAGGATAAAATACAATTAAAATGAATAATTGCCAATCTAGATAAATCTCAGAAATATAATGTTGAATGAAAAGGCAAGTTGCAAGGAAAGAAAAAGAAAAAGAAATAAAAGTTCAGTATGGTATTATTTATGTAAAATCTGCCTAAAACATTATCTATGAATATATACATATGTAGAAAAAATATGAAAATATACATGAGAATCATGCAGAGAATTGAAGTCTCTAACTTCACATATATAGTTACTTCTGGGTCCAGGAACAGTAGTACTTCAGCCACAGCTATAATATTTTATTTTCCTTGAAAAACATATTTGATGAACATATGGCAAAATGTTAAGATTTGGTCTTGATGGTGGGTTCAGGGATGGCTGTTGTATTATTTTCTCAGTTGGAATTCTTTCATACACAAAAAATAACAGTGAAAAGATATTCATTGATCAAACTGACATTTTAAGCAAGTTATTTTGATCAAGTTTTCTGATATGTCAGTTATATCAGAATATCTAGAATAATGTAGATAAACAGTAAGTGTTTGATGAATGAAATACATGAAAGTCTTAAGAGCCACTTTGAGAGTCACCTCCTCTTTCAATTTCTACTTAATCCTATTTCCTTTTCTCCTGCCTGTGTCTGAGAGAAGTCACTGGTGTCTCTTAAGTTTTCATGCAAAATAAGGATGACAATACAGCAAGAAAATAATAATTTTCCCTCTCCTAGATTTTTAGACTTATATTTATGTTTGTATCAGGTGAAGGCATGGGAAAACTGATTTATGTCTCTTGTTGCCTGCTCGCCAGTGGAGCTCATCATTCGCACATTAGCGGGCTTAACATCCTCAGAGCTGTAGCTTCCAGCAATGAATTAAACCTCTTACTTTGAGGTTTGGTTCCTGTTTGATTTTTAAGAAAATATCAAATAAAATTGCTTTGGGGAGGATAAAGATGATGACAGATGACTTACACCCCGATTTCCCCAGCTCACTTAAAGAAATTTATTTTCCTTATAACAGAAAGTTTTAACATTGAAAACAAATGCTATATCCTTCTACCCTTCCCCTCATGGGCAGCAGGAGAAAGGACTGCTTTTCCTTCATTACAATTTCAGTGTGAACAACAGTAACTAGAAGCCACAATATACATGATGCATAGTTATTGTCTGAATGGCGTTACCCTTGGTCTTGCATAGCCAGTTAAAGGAAGAGGATTAAGGATATGTGTTATGATGACAGAGGAGTTCTTTGTTCACCCTTTCAGAGATTTAGCTTAGCTTGAGTCTATGTGAATCTCAGCTTATGTTAATACCTCTGTCCCACCCTGATTTCCTATTTCCACCTGATTCTGCCTACAAACAGGTTCACAAATATCACCAGAAAGTAAATTATTAAGTGATATTTGTTCATCTAAACTACAAAGGGGTGTCTCTATAAGGCAAAACTCAAGAATCAGCCAACCACACATATTGCTGGCCAAACACCAGATGCTCAAAATGATGCAACTGACTCTAGAGAGAGCCAAAGTTATTTCAAGAGGTAGACGATAAAAATACTTGTTGTATTGGTTCATAGCACGTCTTTAAACAACATGTGAAAGTATATTTCTGCTAATATCAGTAGGGGTTTAACCCAAGTATCTGTTTTCACATGGCTAATTAAATGGATCAACGTCCATGTTCCTGTCATACACAGCTAAAAAGATCCCCAGTATAAGAACAGTCTACAGCTGACCCTTGAGATGTGGAAACACCCAGGCAGTTACCCAGAAAAGAAACTCAGACACTTACTTTTCAGCTCTTTACATTGTCATGTTTGAAACCCGATCTTTGGGATAAAAAAACAACCTATTAGGTGCCTTATCTGTTGAGAAGGCAGAAATATTATCATCTCTGATAAATGAACATCTTATCTTGAGATAACCTGGAATAGCTTTTATCTTGCATCATGAGATTCCAAATTTCTTAAAATTCCCATGCCTTTGTCTCCTCCACTGCAAACACACGGAGAGGGAGGAACAATGGGGACAGGATGCCAGAAGTTTAACTAAAGATTCTGGAGAAACTGTTTGCTTGAACAAACTTGTAGCAACTCAACAAAATCATTCATCACCAAAGAACATTGCAATATGCAAGCTCTCTATACCCTACTAAAGGAAAATGCCCACGGGAGATAGTCAGCTCTTAGATGTTTTTTGTTTTTTGTTTTTTTCCTTTATTTGGGCTCCAAGGCAAAAGACCATCAATTAACATCATCTGTAAACTGCCTGGCTTATTGAATTCCTGAAACATGATACTGACTTGGAAAAAAACAACTTAATTTAAATGTTGCACTCATAATTAATAAAATGTTGAAGTCACCCCTGAATATAAAAAATATATAATAAACACAATTATTTTGTACCCCCACGTAGATAAAGTTTATATGTTCTATGGCTTCTTATTCAAGAAACACTTTGTATAATTTATTAAATCTTTATCATATTTGTGCTGTCAAAATGTGATTATCAATCATAAAAGGCATGATTTTAATCCAATTTTCAGCATGAAATTGCTACTATTATTCCAATTTGTCCATAAAGATTAAAAAAAAAAAAAGACACATACCTCAACAAATATAAAACACGGGATGATGGAATAACTTCGCTGAGTGTTGTTTCCTACAGCCATTTCTTACACCATGTAGCAAAGCTGCACCGTCTACAACCGTCCAGGCTGAAACAGAAATATGTAGCATGGTGTAAGACCATATGTTTAGCAGTCCCTTAGGTATTTACATACAAACATCAGCTGCCCTGTGGATAAGCAGGCTGCATACAAACAATGCAAAACAGTGATCTACAACACAGTCAAGTCAAATGACTAAGCATCCCAGGGAAAAGAAAAGAATATAGACCAGCCATGAACAGTCTTAGAGACAGAATGACCAGTTAGAAAGCCCCTGTGCACGTAGCCATAATCAGCAGAATTCCAATCGCCTGATACTTCACGGTGCCTTAACCCAGTAGACTGCTCTAAAACATTTGGTAGTATTCATCCTGCATGGATCTCCTCTTTCTGGGCCCCATACTCCTGGTTTGCAACTTTGGGACTTATTTTGTTTCTTCTGCCCTTCCTGACAATTGTACCCAGGCTCTAACCTCTCACGTCCTTCCGTGGCCACTCTTCACTGGCTCCTTTGACCACACAGCTATTTACTACTTTGGATTAATACACCACGGATCCCTCTCATTGGGTTCCTTCAGCCCTGTCTTTGTGTGCGCACACACGTGTGTGTGTGTGTGTGTGTGTGTGTGTGTGTGTGTGTGTCCCAAACACAAAACACCGATGCGCCCTGGCCAGTTTGGCTCAGCAGTTGAGCGTCAGCCTGCGGACCAGAGTCCTGGGTTTGGTTCCTGCTAGGGGTACGTACCACAAAAACAAAACAAACAAACAAACAAAAACACCGACGCCATAAAACATTTTCTTAACTTATAAGAATGGAATGGCTGGGCAATGGCAGACAATCTCAGAACATCTCTCTCCTATTTTGTACTGAAAATATTCTATTCGGAGATGAGTTGATTTCGATTCTTCTTATTTTTAAAAAACAACAACCAAGTAGAGGCCAGATGAAAAGAACTTTCCTCTACCCCTTTTATTCCCTAAGCAGAGGGATGCTTCCCAGATGGTTCCAGGCGTCTGCTCTCGGTTTATTCTCGTCTGCCTCCGCCCCCTTCGCAGTATTCTGTGGGCGGTGGTCTGGAGAGCGCCGTGGGGACTGTGAGACCAGGGGCTCTTTGCTTCAAGGTCCTGAGTGAATGTCAGTGTTTTCGAACGTGTTTTTCCTTTACCCACACCAGTTACCGGGCTACACTGGACCTTGTTGAACGTTTAGTTACATCTACCCAAGAGATGCCAATAGTAGCAACCCCCCTGCCCCAAGTTGCAACTACAAATGTCTCCAGACACTGCCAGCTGTCCCTTTCTAGGCGGGAGAGGAACCGGAAAGGGTGGATGTGACCCCTAGTGGGGAACCGCTGATTTAGGGCAGAAAGCAGAGCCCCTGGGGCATGAGATGCTTTTGGCTGGTGAGGAATTTGCTTCGCCTGGGATAAGGGTCAGAGTTTTGCCAGCGGGGACAAACCTTTGCTTGCTTGGTACCTAACAGAGGAAAATCTGGAAATTATTGCGGTGCCTTACTGGCATTTGGGGAACCAAAGGGCATCTCTAGCTCAGAGCCATGACTGGGGTGGGATTACAGCTCCCGTCAGCGATGGCTACTCTCACTCTGAGCTCCGAAGGAAAGCAGGACTCTTTTACCTATTGGGTACTGTATAGGCCCCCGCTTCGGGGCCTGTGAGCTACTTAGCAGCCCGTGAAAATATAGGAAGTGAATAAAAAGGCACCCAAACTATGCAAAACCAAATGCATAAATATGTAAGCATACACTTAGAAATGTAAAAGGCTCACAACTTTATTTGTGTTCACAATTGAATTAATTTGAAGATGATTTGTAGGTAAATTTTTCTTAATTCTAAAAAAATTTTTTGCAGAGAAACTATAGTGATTGTAAATTAAATTAGTGACCCGGAAAAATAACTTCAAGAGAAAAGTTTTACATTTTTATTTTGCCACAAAATACAAATTTACCATCAGATTACTCTTTGTGTGTTTATTGTCATATGAGGTGGAGCCTCAGAAAGCCAGTGAGAAAACAATCTTAAACAACCTTTAAATCCCTGGGGGGATGCTGCTTCCAGCCCAGAGGAAATGACTGTGACTGGATTTCACTCTCGATACAACTAAAAAATACAGACAAAATGAACAGGAAGATTGCATTCGAGGCAATGGACTTGAGGCAATGAAGGGGAGTGATCCCTGAAAGATGGCAACCAGAAGAAGTGAGCCCTAGTTCACTGCCTGAAGAGAGTCTCCAGGCCACACACAGAGAGGGGGACCCAGAAAAGTGGTTGGCGGTCTCCCTGAGTTGAGCACTTAGATCTGGGAATGTGGGGAGGTTGAAGTACCCCGAGTTCTCAAGGCAGGGCACAGAGAGGGGACCCTGCACTGAGAGCTGGGTTGCTCTGCAGAAGGTCCCCTTGAGTCTTCAGCACAGTACTAATTAGCTTAGAAAGAAACTACAAGAGCAGAGAGCCCTGGTCAGTTTGGCTCAGCGGTCAGAGCCTGTGGACCGGAGAGTCCTGGGTTCGGTTCCTGCTAAGGGCACGTACCTCAGTTGCAGTTTGTCCCCGGCCCTGGTTGGGTCATGTAGGTGGCAACCACTCGATGTGTCCCTTTCACGTTGATGTTTCTTTCTCTGTCTCTCTTCCTCTCTCCCTCCTGCTCTATCTGAAGATAAATGCAAAAATGTCCTCGGGTGAGAATTAAAAAAAAAGAGCAGAGAAAACCCATCGAAAGGATTAGAGCGAATACTCATCAGGACTCACACAGGGCCAAGAATACTTTCTGTTCCCGCCAACCAAAATAAGATGACTCTCCTTCACCAGACAGCAGGTAGAGGACCCCAGATGGATTAATCAGTAACTCCAGTATGAAAACATGTCTGAGATAGGGACGGCTGGTGGCCGGGGAAGTACACCTTGCAGAATACTGTTTTTCCTTTCATTTGCCTGATCTAGAGCATTGATTGAGATTCTAGGCGCTGAGCTGTGCACTCTTCCTGCGTGTCAGGGGACTCCGGAAGCACAAGCCAGCCTCAGGTCATGTCAAAGGCATCTTTGATATGAGTTTTACAACATTCAACGTGGTCAAACTTTCTCAAAGTTCCCCAGAATTAGGTGGTATAAGGTTGAAATGAGATGATGTCTAAAAAGGGGAAAAACAGGGCTTATTTCTATGTGATCCAAATCTTAATTGGAGGTAAGGTGGGGTGGGGGATTTCAGTAAAAAGGGACAATTAGCCCTGGCCAGTTTGGCTCAGCGGTTAGAGCGTCGGCCCTCGAACTGGAGAGTCCCGGGTTCGGTCCGCTAAGGGCTCGTACCGCAGTTGTAGTTTGTCCTCGGCCTGGGTTGGGGTCATGTGGGTCGCAACCACTTGATGTGTCTCTCTCACATCGATGTTTCTCTCTCTTCCTCCCTCTCTCCCTCCTCCTCTATCTGAAAATAAATGCAAAAAAAAAGTCCTCGGGTGAGGATAAAAAAAAGGGGCGGGGGGATTAAAAGTTCAGAAAATAAGAATTGTGAGAGTTACATGTTATGTAAAATAAAATATATTTTAAAATATAAGGGATTGAGCAAAAAAGAAAAAGAGCGAGAGAGGGAGAACTCATGGACATGGACAACAGTGTGGTGATTGCCTGGGTGGGGGTGGGGGTGAGGGGGGAGGTGGAAGAGGGTATGAGGGGATAAACGGTGATGAAAAAAATATAATACAATAAAGAAAAAATGTATTATGAGTTAGTCATGATCCCCCAATCCAACTCAACTTTAACACATGTGAAACAGGCATTAACTTCCTTGGTGGCACTGAGCTACCCCTCACTGCTCTGGGTCGTTTCTATGCAGTACATTATCTCCAACCAGGATCACAGTTTGCATTTCATTTCCCAACTGCTGAAAACCCGATTTTTTTTTTTTTAAGCAACAAAGACTTTGAAGGATGGGAACAAATGAAATGGGATTGCAGATGAGCGCAAACAAAGATCTCATCATGAGCTGGTGTGGGGTTTAAGAAAGCGCTATGAGGCTTTCAAGAGAAATACTCGACTGTTATGTTTTAGAGTTGCTTTTCAAAGCTTGTAACGCACGACGGTGGGAAACCCATACAGGGCACGAGGGTGGCTCTGGCACTCCCTTCTCTCCAGCCTGCCCCCCCCCCACCCCCCACACACAGTGTCTCACAGCCAGATCCACGGCACAGCCCTTGAACTAGACCAGAGTGAGGCAGAGAGATAAAAAGAACATAAACCCACAATCTGGGGAAACCCAGAACTGAGTCAAATCTTCGCAAAATACATAGGACTCAGGGGCCCAGTGAGCCTACCTGGGCCCCCATATTGTCCTTGAGTGGCTTTTTAGACTCAAGGGCCATTCCTGGTTCCCTCAGGGCTCCCACAGTACATGGGCCTGGTCCTTGTGACCAGTCAATAGCTCTGCCCCTACTGCCTAAATCTGGTGACTCACTCTCATAAGACCCGTCTCGCTCCAAGCCTATGTTTCTGTCTGGACCTCGCTCGGCGACCAGGACTCGGCTCTCCCAGTCACCTGTGCAGTCCTTCGAGCACACAAGCATGCCTGGCTCACACTCAGCCCTAAGCCAGATCGGAGAGTCCGCAGGAGACCCCCTGCCTGTTGTCCCCCAAGTGTTACTTGATGTCTAGGGTCTCTGCTGCTGGGCCTCTCAGAACTGAGGCAGAAGTTCTGGCTGATGTTTGAGCGCGCAATGGTTTTTGACTCTCTTGAACCTCTCCAGTCCCATTTTATGACAATCTCCACCCCCTGCTCACCTCTAGCCTGTCTGCACTTTGGCCACTCACTGGGTTTCTGCAACACGCCAACCTCTTTCTCGGGTCTGGCCCTGTCGCACCCCGTCTCCTGGGGCAATTTCCCCTCCTCCGTATTTGCCTAGCCAGTGTCTGCCTCTCCTTAGACCTGCAGTTCAACCCCGCTTTCAATGGCAAGTGTCCTTCACTGCCTGACTGGTTCCATTTTCTTTATCATACACGTTCATCATTCTCCTTCATAGCATTTATGGTATGATTATCTAACAGCTG